ATGCTCCTCTCTGAGCCAAGATCCCTGAGCTGCTTGGAAACCAACCGAAGCCCAGCATTTTCCTCTACCTCCCCTTTGCAACTGAAAGGAGTTGGGGGAGAGCCCAGGGGTCCTATGGCGGGGCGGGGAGAGCAGAGACCATGACAAGTTGAGCTAAAGCCCTTCCTAGGCCTTACATCACCTCTCTGAGCCTCGGTTTCCTCATGTGTAAAATGGGCTGGAATAACTTGATCCTCACCTTGCAGAGAGGTGCCCTTGCAAGGAAACACCCATGCAGGAAAAAATAGGGCATAGTGTTCCAAAAACAGTAGTGTCATTTATTATTAATAACTTTAGTAATTCCTATGATTAATAATGTTTATGGTTAATTATAAGAACCATTCCCAGGCTGTCCTACAGGCACTCTCAAATCCTGCCAGGCCCCTAACATGCTGTGTGTCTCTTTCCAATTCCACACCCTCTCCAGAGCTCAGCTCCTACCCAGGATACACCTTCAGCCCTGGGGGATGAGGGAGTCTGGGGAGAAAAGTGGCCATCCCACAGTGGACACATGCCATTGCCATGGTAACTGGAGCTACCTGCCAACTCTCCTCCCTGGGAGCAAAGGTTACCAGGTCACGTAGCCTAGCGTTGGACTCTTGAGCTGGGAGGAGGCAGAGGGGTCTTGCTGTTTAAGGTTTAACCTGAGATCCCCCCATCATTGACCTCCTTGCAGCACCCCAGGATCCCCACTTCCCAGCCTACAGAGCCACCCTTTCTGTGGGTTGGGACAGTCATTGTCACATGAACCTATCATCACAGATGTGCATTGATCACTCACTATGTGCACATGCTTCACAGGCCAATATCTAGAAGGATCTATCTATTTGCCTGTTGTCCCTGACATTTAGCCCAGGGAGGAGGGCACAGGGCAAGCCCTCAAACATTTATTAATTTGAGCACTAACTCTATTGCGTGAGCATTAGCCTCATTGCTCAAACTCTGCTGGGGCCTCCCAGATCTTCCCTGGCAACACCATAAAGACATAATAATGCAATGCTTATTACCTATAGTGCTCAAAGTGCTCTAGAGGGTTTCCGCTAGGCTCCCCCAGTCACCTCCGCCTCTCCCTCCCTGCCCTGATCTTGAGACACTGTAGTCCACTCTTTGCTGAGTTGATATTCTGAGAATAAAATCAGCCAACCATTATTAGCCAGTGCATACCATATGCCAGGTGCTGTTAAATGCTTTGTCTCCAGTAATGCATTTAATCCTCCCAATGATCCTGGGAGGCAATCGTACTACTGTCCCTATTTTATGGATGGGGAAACTGAGGCTCCAAGAAGTAGTGGAAAGACTTGTCTAAGATCACTGAGTCAGGAGATCAGAACTCAGGGCTCTTAGGCCCAAAACACTGGGAACACTGCAGGGAAGAGGGGAGTCTAGGCACCTTCTTATGGCAGCCACGAGGCCAGAGATCAGCCTGGGAGTTCCGATTTCAGTTGGACTAGGGGGTTGAAGACATGCTTTGCAGGGTTTCCCAAAGGGAGCCCAGACCCCCTGCTAATAAGTTTGCCCTTGGGGGAGGGCTAAAGTCCCCACCCTCTGCTGTCCCATTCCCAAGATGTAATCTCCCTGCCTCTTCCTTGCTGGGGGGTGGGGGTGGAGATCGGGTTCCCATTGCTAGGCAACCAGGTTTGTAGTTGGTGAATAATGCAACGGGGGACCCAAAAGAGTGAGCAACCAAATTGGGGTCCCGGGGGAGGGAAACTTTTCCAGAACTCTTTACAAACCTCTGGAGCCCCTCCCCCCTCTTACTTTAAAATGCCCTCAAAACTTGAATATTAAAATTCTCTGCACACCCCGTTTGATAGTGTTTATCTCCAGCTCGACAAGAACAGTGTTCGTGGCCGTGGCCTTTTGTCACCAGGAACACTTGGTGACCATTTCACTAAGCGGGTGATGGTTCCGATTTTGCCATCATCTTTCCCAGTTTGGGAGCTGTTAACTTTTTCTGTTGTATCTCAAGCATTTTTTCCCACCCTGGACACTGAGGGATGTTTCTAGAGGCAAAACATGGCAGTGAGGGACCCTGGCATTTCCTGCCCTCTCCCCAGTCATAGCCCCACCCCCAGGCTGGACTTTGAGCTTGAAGACGGCCTGCAGAAAATCCCTGAAAAAAGGAGGTGGGGGTCCACATCTCCCACCTGACTCTCTGGGGGAGGGGGACATAAAAGCCCATGGGATTGGCTGCTGAGCTCTCTCCATTCCCCCTAGTGCCCTTAGGAGAGGCCAAGCTGGGGCTCTCACCCCCGCGGAAAGGCCAGCGACCTCCGAGCCCCTCCCAGGCCCTGCCCACCAACCCCCCTGATCCCGGACACTTACATGGGTGTGGCCGGAGACCACATCTGGCTCTGCAGGGCCATCTCTGCCCAGAAGCCCACCTTCAGGTCTCCAAGATCAGGACCCACCACCCGTTTGACTGAAGGTGCCCTGGAGGCTGTGACTTGGCTGGCGGGAAGGGGGTGCTGCAGGAGGGCACTGGGAAAGCTGGTCCAGCTGGTTTGGGCCAGGAGGCAGGAGGCGCAAGCACGAGGCGAGGCTCGAGGGGGGCTGGGGGCTGGCGGGCAGTTCTGGGGAGGTACTATCAGCTGTCCTGATAAATTATTTACCAGCCACTGGCCTCCTTGCCGCACTTGGCTGCCTCACAGCGAACACACTCACATGCATGGTGCAGTGTGTGGGCGGGAATGGGGCGTCACTGACCCCTCCAGAGAATGGCATCTGTCCTTGGCACCCCAGATGCCTCTCAAGTCCAGCTAGCTGCCCACCAAGGGTCACCAACGTGGCACATCACACGCGTGCGATACTCTTATAAACTACTGCCCTCCCTTCTTGGACCCTGGCTCTTGGGTGGAGAGGGAGGCACTGATCCAGCTAAGGGATTCTGGAGACCAGAGGCTGAGCACCATGGGAACCAGGAGGTCTGGCCCCTGGGTAACTGTGGATGACTTGCCCCAGGTTTCTAGGCCCGTGGTTTGCCCTTTGTGAAATGGAGAATTAGATCAAGTGGCCTCCAGGACCCCGACCCCCCTTAGATGCTATAACAGTTAGGGGTGGGGCAGTGGTGAGGAAGGTCCAGAGAACTTCTTACCCAAATCTTGAGGGTCCCTGTTCTATCGTCCCCATCCTCTTCTTAAAGGACCAGCATCCTGTTTCTCAGGTGACAGCATGCCTCATTTACCCTTAGCCGTTTGGGGAAATCATCTCTTACTTTCCAGGCTAGTCTCCCACAGCCCCCAGTCCTTCCCCCATCACAGTCCTGGTCCCGCTGTGCAATTTGACATGAACCTCAGTGAGGAGGGACCTTGCCCCCGCTAGGACCCTCCCCATGTGACCAAGGGAATGTGCCTACCTAACTCTTCCCTCCCTCTTTTACATCTTACCCGGGGTACTCAGACCCCAGAATTCCCTGCCCAAATGGTCCTGTGCTTCCTGAATGCAGACCACACGGCCAGGGTGCGCCTCACCCCACCACCTCCAGCCTGACAAGTGGTCAAGGGCAGCTACTGGCGGAGGGGTGAGGATCAAGCTTGGACATGCGGCACGAGGTCCCCAGGGGCAGGCACAAGGCTCCTTGCTATGCAGGAGAGAGTTGAAGGTTGGAAAGGGGGCCAGGCTGAGAGCTGAGGTCTCCCTGAGCCCCACATTCTAGTACAAGACTCCTAGGGATTCAAAATGTTTTCATTTGAACCCGGCCTTCTAAGTCATTCTGAAAGTACATTTGCCATGATAGGAGGAGAGAACATACTTTTTAAATCAGTTTTTAATCGTGGTAAAATACATATAAAATTTACCATTAGTGGCATTTAGTACATTCACGGTGTTGTGTAGCCATCCCCTCTGGCACCGGAATATCTCCATCACCCCGAAAGGAGACCCCACGCCCATGCACAATCTCTTCTGATTTCCCCTCCCCCAGCCCCTGGCAACCACCAGTCTGTCCCTGTAGATTTACCTACTCTGGACATTTCATATAAATGGAATCATACACTATGTGGCCTTTCGTATGTCTGATTTCTTTCACTCAGCACAATGCTTTTTTTTTTTTTTTAAAGATTCATTTATTTGAGAGAAAGTGAGAGAGAGAGAGAGAGAGAGCATGAGCAGGGGGAGAGGCAGAGGGAGAGGGAGAAGCAGACTCCCCGCGGAGCAGGGAGCCCGATGTGGGGCTCAATCCCAGGACCCTGAGATCACGACCTGAGCTGAAGGCAGACGCTCAACCGACTGAGCCACCCAGGCGCCCTAACTCAGCATAATGTTTTTAAGATCCATCCATCCACAATGTAGTGTATGTCAGTGTTTCATTCTTTTTATGGCTGAATAATATTCCTTTTTTTTTTTTTTAAGATTTTATATTTTTAGGTAATCTCTACACCCAACGTGGGGCTTGAACTCACAACCCTGAGATCAAGAGTTGCATGCTCCATCAACTGAGCCAGCCAGGGCGCCTGAATAATATTCCATTGTATGGATTTACCACATTTTATTTATCTATTCATGTGTTGATTGACATTTGGGTTGTTTCTACCTTTTGGAGGAGAGAATGTATTTTTTAAAAAGATCTATTTATTTATTTGAGAGAGAGAGTGCGCACACAAGGGGGAGGAGCAGAGGGAGAGGGAGAGAGAATCCCAAGCAGGCTCTGTGCTGAACACAGAGGCTGACGTGGGGCTCGATCTCACAACTCTGAAATCATGACCTGAGCCAAAATCAAGAGTTGGAGGCTCAACTGACTGCACCACACAGGTGCCCTGAGAATGTATTTTATTTGTTTGTAGTTTGATTTTACAACTGTTAAATAGATGTATGGTATGTAGGCTTCCCTTTGTATTCTTGTCCTGTATTCTACTTCGAGGCAAGATTGTTCTATTTATAATTGTGTCTGTCTCCCAAACTCAACTGCACCTTCCAAGTCTGATTTGTTTCTTTATTCCCAGCACTGGGGTAGGTGCCTTGTACATATCATTAAATAAATCTTAAGCCACTGTTATGTATCAGGCACTGTTCTAGGCATGGGGTAGTTGGGTCTAGGCGTGACCAAACAGAAAATGCTGTAAGGCAGCTCACTTTTGGTGGTGGTGAGGAGAGAGATGATATACAAATAAAGGCAATTAGTGATAACTGGTAACTGCTCTGCAAGTTACAGCCAACAGCAGGGTTAGGGTTATGGAGAAGGGCTGTGTGTGATGCAGGCTGGGTGATCAGGGACTATTTGTCTAAGGAAGTGATATCTGAGTTAAGACCTGCATAGCAGAAGCCAGCCATGTGATGAGTCCTTCCAAGCAGGGAAAAAGGCAAGTAAGTGCAAAGGCCCTGAGGTAAGAGTGCACTTGGGGGGTTTGAGGGAAGCACAAAAGCTGGAATGGAAGAGTGAGGGAGGGAGTGTCCGAAGATGAGATCTGAGAAGTGGGCAGGACCTTCTGGGTCAGAGGAGGGAATTTGGATTTTTCTTCTGAGTGTGGTGGGGAGCCATTGGAGGGACAGTGAAGTGGCTGGGATGAGGGTAGAGAGACGTGAACAAATTCAGAATATGTTTTGGGGGGCAGAGCCTGCAGATCCAACAGCAATCCAACATATGGATGGATTGGAGCAGGGCTGAGAGAGAGAGGTTGAGGTAGATTCCCAGGTTTGGGGCATGAAAAACAGAATGGATAAGTTGCCACACATAGTGGGGAGTAGAGTTGGGGGGATCCGAGAGTTCAGTTTTGAAAGTGTTCAGTTTGACACCTATTACACTGAAGAGTGTTGAAGATGAGTCCAAAACCCAGAGAAGTCAGAGGTAGAGATATAAATTTGAGAGACACCAGCACAGAGATGGCATTTAAAGTATGAGGTTGGGGGACGCCTAGGTGGCTCAGTCGGTAAGCATCTGCCTTTGGCTCAGGTCATGATCCCGGGGTCCTAGGATCGAGTCCTGCATGGGGCTCCTCTCCCTTCTCAGCAAGGAGACTGCTTCTCCCTACTCAGGGAGAGAGTAGAAGGAGAGGGTGGGAAGGAGGGAAGTCACCAGGGTGGGCAGAGAATTGGGGGAAGGAGTGACCAGATAGTTGGATTATTCCCGAGGCTGTTTAGCGCTCCCCCTTTCTCTAGGTAACTATATCTTTCTTCCTGGTCACCCCAGAATGGTGGAGTGGGGCCAGAGGTCAGATTTGGAGAGAGCCTGGAGAAGAGTGGAAATTGCCTTTTAGGGGCGTCGGTCCTGCCCTTGAACGCCACGGTCTGGCGCCACCTGTGGGGAGCTGCTCCATACCGCAAGCCTGGATACCTCTCCGGGGACTTTCCAGCCGCCTGAGCCCAAGGTGACCGCCTTTCAACCGCAGCTGCTCCGCTAAGCCCTGGGCGCGCTGTGTCCGTCCCTCTTCCCATAATCTGGAAGTGCACTTGGCCGCGGGCGCCTCGAGGACTTTTCCAGGAGGGGTGAAGGGAAAGCAGCCTCTGAGCTTGACGCGGGCAGTGGCACACCTCTCGGAAAAGGCCTCGCTGAGCCCAGAAACCCGGAGGGAGCCTGGGGCGCGCCAGGAGAGGGCTCCTGGCGCCCCCTCCAGTCTGAGCGGTACGCTGCAAGGGTGGAACGTGGATGGACCGCCCCGAGGCTAGGGGCGTTGCGGCCCGCCGGCCTGGGCGGGGCTAGCAAGGCCCCGGAAAGATGGCTTTGGAGGACACCAGCACCAGAGGGCCAGCGGTTCAAAGGCCCAGCCCGAGGCACAGTTGGGGTCAAGCCTCCTGGGAATGCCGGGGACGTGGGAGCGAAAAGGTGCCAGGGTGGCGCCCCGAGAGTTGAACGGCACCCAGACTTGTCTCCCAGCTGGCGGGCCGAGTCCAGGGAAAACCTCTTACAAGAAGTCTGGTGCCCCGAGCTGACCTGAGGCGCGTCAGAGCACGAAATGCGGTGCCCTGCCGAGGCCCCCGTCCCCTCCCCGCCCCGAGGGCGGGGCCAGGGCGGGGCCGTAAGTCTTCCCTGCAGGTGCAGGGGGCGGTGCCCGGCCCTGCCCCGGGGGGCCGTTCGTGGAGGCCAGGGGCGGGTCAGAGAAACGGCCGAGATAGGCGACGCCTTGGAACCCGCGGGCGGTGACTGTGCCACAGGTGCCGCGCCGGGCACCGTGGTCTCAGCTCTGGGCATCAAAACTCCGGCGCTGGAAACTAAGTCTTCCAAGCTGCTCCCAACCCTGGACACCGAGGCCCCCGGGCCAGAGAGCGGAGCCCTGGGGTCGTCCGAAGAGCGGGGCCCCGAGACCCCCGGGTCAGCTAAGTCCCAGGGCCTGCCGCAGAGCAGGACGCTGAGGTCCCCAGGCCAGGAGGCAAGGTCTCCGTGCCCTCCGCAGAGCAGGACGCGGAGAGAGCTGAGCAAGAGAGCGAAGTCCTTGGGCCATCAGCGGGGCTGGACGCAGAACGCCCCGGGCCGTCTGCAGCTGGGGGGTTTGAGAGTCTCCGGCCCGGCAACCACGACCCCAAGCCGTCTAAAGCGCGAAGCGCGGGGTTCCCGAAGCAGTGTCCCCTTCAGGGTCCCGAGACCTTCTCCTCGGGGTCAGATTCCGAAGGCCCCCTGCAGCATTTTCTACTGCGCCCGAAGACCCCCCGGCAGGCCCCCGAGAAGCCGTTCATGGAGACGCCCATCGAGCGAGAAATCCGCCGCAGCTGCGAACGCGAGGAGAGCCTGCGCCGGAGCCGAGGCCTGAGCCCTGGCGGTGCAGGCCGAGAACTCGTCGAGCTGCGCGTGCGGCCGGTGCTCAGCCTGCCCAGCCCCGGCCCCGCGCTCCCGCGCG